TTTATGAGGAGGTATTCCACAGGTGAACTAGTACCATGGCTTCCAGCAGCATCATTATTCTATCAAGCAGGAATTCTCCCTTCCAGGCTTAATATTTTTTATTTATATTTTAATTGGCTTACAATTAAATATGGTTTGGTTGCATATGGCTTTTTTTATTAATCATTTGGTTAAAAGAGTTTGGTTAAGCATAAATTTCCTTGTTACAAACTTAAACAAGGAGGTGAAGGACATCTACCGTGAAAACTTATGCAGAAAGTAATTAAGGCAGATACTGGAAGATGAAAAGATCTCCCAGGCCCATGCATTGAATGGATTAATCTTGTAAAAATGACTATCACACCTAAATCAACTTACAGATTCAGTGCAGTTCATATCAAAACCCCCATGACACTCTTCACAAAAGTAGAAAAATATGTTAAACACAAAAGAACAAGGATAACCAAAACATTCCTAAATAATAGAAATAATGCTAAAAGCATTACCCCACCAATCTCAAATGATAATATAAAACAAATAGTAATAAAACTACTATGGTACTTGTGCAAAAAAAACATGTAGATCATTGGAATAGAAGGCAAGTCTCAAATACAGGTCTTTGCAATTTCAGTCACAGAATTTTTACAAGATAGCAAAATTCACACTAAGACACGACAGAATCTTGTTGAAACTATGCTCATGTAGAGAATAAAACTAGATTATTATTTTTTACCAAGCACAAGCTTCAATCAGGTCTTGACTGACATCAAAATTTCATAACAACTTGTAAGGTATAGGCAGGCTCAGTCCATACTCACTGTCTTAGTTACTTTTCTATTGCCTTGAGGGGGACCAATAACCAAAGTGGTACATAAGTGAAAGCATTAAATTTGGGGGCTCTCCCATTACTGAGGGTGAGTCCATGATTATATAACACAAAACATGGCAGTGGGCAGGCAGGCATGATACTAGAGCAGGAGCTGAGAACTCACATCAAATACACAAGGATGAGGCAAAGAGAGTGTGTACTAACTGAGAATGATATGGGCTTTTGAAATCTCCAAGCATACCTCCTCTAATAAAGCCACACCTCCTAAACCTTTCCAAATAGTTTCACAAATTGGGAACTAAGCATTCAAATATATGAGCCTATGGGGGTCATTCTATTCAAAACACCATACTCAATAATCTTTTTTCATTAGTTCAATCAAAAACTTTAATTTTTTTCTCATTTTTTTGTACATATCTATCTTCATTTGGGTTAATATTGTTGCAATGAAACTTTATGACTAAAGGAACTTGGGGAGGAAAGGGTTTCTTTGGCTTACATTTCCACAGCACCATTCATCATTGAAGGAAGTAAGGACAGGAACTCAAATAAGGCAAGAACTGGGAGGTAGGAGCTGGAGCAGAACCCTTGGAGGAGGCTGCTTACTGGCTTGATACCCATAGCTTGCTCAGCTTGCCTTCTTATAGAACTCAAGACCACCAGCCCAGGGATGACACCACCCACATTGAGCTGGATCCTCCCTCATCACTCCCTAATCAAGAAGATACTACATAGGCTTTTCTACAGCCAATCTTTTTTTTTTTTTTTTTTTTTTGAGACAGGTTTTCTCTGTGTAGCTTTGTGCCTTTCCTGGGACTCACTTGGTAGCCCAGGCTGGCCTCTAACTCACAGAGATCCGCCTGGCTCTGCCTCCTGAGTGCTGGGATTAAAGGCGTGTGCCACCACCGCACGGCTCTACAGCCAATCCTATGGAAGCATTTTCTCAATTGAATTTACCTCTGCTCAGATGACTTTAGCTTGTGTTAAGTTGACAAAAATATCCAGGACAATATCAAACTAAACTCCACATTTTTCATCAGCAAAACAAATTACAGAGAAAAATCCTTTAACATAGCTGTGCAGGTTAGCTTGGTATACTATAGAACTTTTTAAAATTATTTCTTTTTTTGAGATTATAGTATAATTACATCATTTTACTCTTCCCTGTCCTTCCTGCAAACTCTCCCATATTCTTCATTGTAATTCTTCAAATTAATGGCCTCTTTTTATTAATTGTATTAATTGTAACAACATGCATATATACATCATATATATGAATATATATGACATATAAATATAATGTTTCTGAAAGCCTTATATTATAAAGCAATATTTGAGGCCATTAGGTTGAGATGCCACTCAATTTCAGACTTACATAAGGAAACTTCTGGTCCTATAGACTCATTCATCCTAAGTGTCCTATGCAGGTGAAGCAATTTTAAACAGTCTTTTATTTCATATTTTTTAATTATAAATTTTGTTTATTCTTAGAAATTTCATACAGGTATATAATAAAATATGATCATATCTACTATCCCATTTCCCTCCTCCAACTTCCTTTATCTCTGCCTCACATGACCCCTCTCACAACGTCTTCGTTCTTCTTTCTATTTTTGGTAACTCACTAAGTCCAATTAGTGTTGCCCATATGTAGATGGCTGTCAGGGCATCCACTTGACCATGGAAAACTAGACAGTGAGAACACTATAAAAAAGAATGATTATACCTTCCCCTGTACCTATCCACCGCAAATTGCTCCTCATAAAGGCGTGTGACTTGCAGAGTACTTGCCATACCTGTGTTGGAATTTTGATTGATTTGGTTTTATACAGGACTTGTGTCTGCTGCTATTGTGAGTTTATAAGTATGTTAGTCATATTATGTTCAGAAGACGGCATTTCATAGCACTTGTTCAATCCTTTGGCTCTTACATTATATGATGTTTTATTGTGATTTTATGTTATAATACAGAAAGACTATTGTATTAAATTGTCTTTGGTATTAGGTAGAGCAATAGGCTATATGTCTGTATCCTAGGCCCAAATCTCTCTCTTTCTCTGTCTATAAATCAGGATTAGCTCTCAGCTACTACCCTTGTGCCTACCTGCATGCTACCATCATGATGATAATGGACTGAACCCCTGAAACTGTAAGCAAGCCCCCATTAAGTGTTTTTGTTTTGTTTTGTTTGTTTGTGTTTTGTAAAATTTCCTTGGTCATGGCATCTCTTCTCAGCAATAGAACAGTGACCAAGATACATGGTGACCTCCAACAAGCTAGAATGGTTTCAAAACTATAGGTTGTTCTCCACAAACTGATAGCAAGGCCTTGTTGTTGAAGACAACATCTACATAATTCGCTGAACATGGAGAGGTAGAGCTGGTGGCTACACAGAGCCTTCACCCCTATGTGTTAGTGTCTTTGGTAAAGGAAGGTATTTTGCAAACTACCAAAGTAAAAAGACAAACACCAACATTTGTTCTACAATGCTGTCCTGCCTTCAAAATATGCTAGTGCAATGGTAACACAAATCTTTTGGGAGTAACAAAGGAATATCTGATTGATTTAGGGCTAACTCCATGAGATTGAAGCCATAACAAATACTATGTGAGTGGTCAAGAATCTGAGACCAGAAAACACATAGATATAAGGTAAAAACAAAAACTACTGTTCTATAAATACACATACACACAGGTAAACACACACACACACACACACACACACACACACACACACACACACATTGCAATAAAATGACTCCTAATGACATTTTCCTCTATTCATGATCAGTGTCTTACTCAGCTATCATCAGAGAAGCTTCCTCCTGCAGCAGATAGTAACAAATACAGAGACCCACAGACAGATACTAAGCAGAGAGTGTGAGAACTTGGAGCACTCAGCCCTAAATGAGATCCTAAACCAAATCCCTCTCTTCAGGGCTCAGGGAACCCCATGGAAGAGGAAGTGGAAATAGTGTAAGAGACAGAAGGTATGGGGTACACCAAGACAACAAGGCTCTCTAAACAGACAGATTTGATGCTCATTTAACTCACAAAGACTAAGGTGGCATGGCAAGCATGGGTCTGCACCAGAAGATGTCATAGAACTGAAAGGAGAAGTAGACACATGTCCCTATCCCCAAATCAGAAGCAATCTCCAATTGATAACTATTTGCAAATGAAAATTTAGTTTTCTTCAAGTATATCTTACTGGAGAAACAAACTACTCTGAATGTAGCCTACACACCCAGCAGGAGATATCAAACAGAAAATGAACTCAGTAGAATCTATGAAGGTTCCTTGTTTCATAATGTCATACAAGGGCCTTTTCATATATATAATTTTATATAATATAATCATAAGATTATATATATACTTAGATATTTAATATACAAGATTATGTATGATTTTATATATACATATAATCTTACTCTTAAAAATTTTGTTTATATACTTTTTTCTTCTTTCATTTTACCCTGCAGTTAATTTGTATGTATGTATATATGTATATGTGTATATGTGTATGCTTTTTATGTCTTCTAGTTCAGTATTTTTATGGGATTTCTGAGTGTGCCAATGAATGGGTCTCTGGTTGGTTTATTTATTTTTTGAGCTTTGTAGTGGATGCTCTCTTTTCCTTCTGTTCTTTGCTTTGTCACTTTTCTATGTGTTAGTTTTTGCTTTATCATGCTACATTATACTAATTATATTATATTGTATTATATTATATTATATCTCTTAGAAGCCTGTTTCTTTTCTAATGAGAGACAAAAAGCAGGTATCCAGATGAAAGGGAAGATGAGGAGGAACTAGGAGGAGCAGAGGGAAGGAAAAATGTAATCAGGAAATATTACATGAAACATTATACCAATGTTCAGTAAAAGGTGGGTAAAACCAATGATAGAAAGAAAAAATAGGAAGCAGGAGAGTAGGTGAAGATGACCAAAGGTAAAAGTTCTAGCTGTGCACAGAAACCCCTTGAGAATCAGTAGATCTTAATGCTTGGAGGAAAGAGAAAAGGAAGATAGAATGCAATATTTTATCTCATTCATTATTGAAGCAATGCTCAATTTATGCCCTCATGGAAAATAAAAATGCCAAATCCTTGAATACACAGAATAAAATAATTAGTTTATGAGAGTAGCAGTGAGAAAATGTGAGGACACAAATATAGACTTGTATATTTTTACCACTTAGCTGAATTCTTCAACAAAAACTGAAGGAAATGACCAAAAATTATGATTATATCAACAAAATGTGCCTAAACACACACATATCAATTTTTTCTTGCTCCTTTTTATCACACCTATTTGTTTCTACAATTATTGTTAATATTTCACATTGATTTTAAAACAGAATACAGGCAACACATAAATACCCGAGACTACTCAATGTGCTGAGGATGGATGAGTGACTGTCCTGCCCTAAACCGGGAACTTTCATCAACACCCCTAAGACTTAGGGAACATCGCAAAATAGGGAGCAGAATAAAAGGAAAGATGGGCGCCCAATGGCTCGAGTTTCCACCTTAAACCTGAGAATATTTAATAACCAATTCTAAACAGAGCCAAAACCAGGTTCCTGCTTCTTGTCTCATATGGGCAGCGAGACGCCGCAAAACGCAGGTTTGAACACTGGCGGGTTCCTGGCATGTGTGTTTGACCAGCAGTATGGCATGAATGAGGCGTCTGCTAGTGGCACATTACACTGTGTGGTAGATTTAGTCTTTACTAGTATTAAAAAAAAAAAAAAAAGGTTTCTGGGCTACATGCTACTTTGATAAAAGCTTAGACCCACTATTTCTGAGACTTGATGACTCACAAAACTGGCAGAAAACGCCACGTTGGTAAGCTGAAATGGACGGAGCCAGCAGCCACAGCACCATTTCAGTCTTAGAATACTGCAGTTTAAAGCAATAGATTCACAATATGTAGGCTTGAAAGAGAAAAAAAAAAGATAAATTAATATTAAAAAAAATCCACGTAAAGATGAATATTACACAGACAATCTGGATTGTGTTGTCTTTGGGATTTTTAACTGCAAAAAAACATTTGATCAAAAAAAATGTTGAATTAAACCAATATGTATATTTTAAAGGTACCTTGACTTCAAAATTTGGATTTAAGGATATGTCGCTTTGGAAAAGAGGTTCTGCTTTTGTTTCCACAGAAAGCCAGAGGCTGTGGATTTATTCCAGATTAAGATACATCAGGTTTCACCAGCCAAGACCCCCTGAAAGGTCTCCGATGAACCCACGACCCTGCTTTGCTGCTCTTTCCACGATGGCTTTTCGGTTCTTGGAGGAAACGTTGTGAGCAATCTCAGCACAGTAAGATTTGTTGCATAACAGCAGCACTTCCAGCTCCTTGACATTGTGGACCAGAAACTTCCAGAAGCCGCTAGGCAGTATGTGCTTGGTTTTCTTGTTGCTCCAGTAACCAATGTTGGGCATGAGGATCTGGCCCTTGAATCTTCTCCGCACCCTGTTGTCGATACCTCTGGGTTTCCACCAGCTTCGCTTAATTTTGACATTTCGGTCTGACTGGTGCCGGATGAACTTCTTGGTCCTCTTTTTGATGATCTTGGGCTTCACCAGAGGCTGGAGGGCAGCCATGATGCTGCTACACAGATGGCAGCCACCTCGCAGGCAGCGCCCAGGAAGAAGGAAGGGAGACACTGCAGCCACCGCCAGGACAAGCAGCATGTAAAGACGCCAGTAAGCCACCAGCCACGTGGCAAGGTATAGATTTATAGAAATGGGTTAATTTAAGATAAAAGAACAGTTAGCAAGAAGCCTGCCACGGCCATACAGTTTATAAATAATATAAGCGTCTGAGTGATTATTTTATACATGGATTGTTGGACTGCAGGGCTTGGTGGAGCCTGGAGAGAAGCCCTCCAGCAACAGGCAGTGGTGGCACATGCCTTTAATGCCAGCACTTGGGAGGCCGAGGCAGGCAGATCTCTGTGAGTTCGAGGCCAGCCTGGTCTACAGTGCAAGATCCAGGACAGGCACTAAAGCTAACCAAAACCAAATAAATAAATAATAAAATAAGATGAAGAAGTTAGGGAGGAAGACCATAGAATGTTCTTTGCTAGATATGACATACCCATTGCAATCCTAAACTGGTAGCAGCTGTGCTCACTATGTTGAGTACGTGAACAGTTAGTTGTAGATGTGGTATGATCCCCTGAAGCACTGTCAGCTATGGATGGTATCTAGGAGAGAGGGTGATCATTGTCTTTAGGTGTGCACCCATAGTGCACCGACCAAGTGACATTCAGTAGCTACAAACCCATAGTCACAGAGGAACCTGGTTTAACTCAGTGGGTCACAAAATAAAACAAAACAAAAAATACATGAACCTTAACCCTGGATATGGGAAGGGGTGGGTAGGAGATCGGAAAGAATGAGGGGAGTAAACAGGATACTTTATATACATGTATAAAATGGTCAAAGATAAATTTGCTTGATAAAAATGCCATATTTTGAAATAGATAATGAAGAACATATGCCAGCTTAAAGTGAAATTGCCATTACACTATAGGTACCATTATGTTACACATTGCTGAAAAATGTTCTCTAACACCTTAGGAGTACTAATTGAATTCTAAATTCACTTACTACTTGTGTGCCATACCTTATTCATTATGCTAGTTTCCACTGATTAGATAATTACATTTTAATCATAAAATGTAAGGAAAAATTACTAAGCATATATGTTTTATTTTCCTTCCTATTTATGATTCCATCATATTAAAATGTAAATGAATCATATTAAAACAGGGGTATGTAATTATGAGACTGTTTTACTGCATTAGTAAGCTAATAGTATAAGTGTCTTCTCATCTCTGATCATGTTCCTGTATTCCAAATTCATTCAAATTACTAAAAGCCTAATAAGTAAAAAGCTCTTGTAAGAAATGTACACATTGCTCCTGTCTTCAACAAGGTTATAATCTAATAGGAGATCACACATTGCTATTAATCTGAGGAAATGTTATATAGTGATTTTCTCAAAATGAGATATCACCAGGAGGGATGAGAAAAGCTCATATGACTAAAAAAAATTCACAAATATTACGAAGTTGAGACGCGGGAGATTCATACAGACCCGAGTTATAATAGCAATAATAAGAATTTCTGCAGTTAGGAGTTTTTCAGACCATCTGAAGTGCCTCTTCACTGTGTAGAGAACTCCAGGGATGCAGCTTCTGTGAGTGAACCCCAGTAATGGAGTCGATTTTTCAATGATACAGTTGCCTTCGAGTTATCTATGCACCTGCCAGGCAGCCCACACTCATGCTCTGTGAGCCCAATAAACTCAATGCTTCATCAAGTTGGGTTTGGGTGGAATTTGTAACATGGTCTGTCGTGGTGGCCTTTTGCTAACATTTTCCTGGAAAGTGCTACACAGAGCACAGCTGGTGACATGATAGGACCAAAGGTGACTTTGACAGGTGCAATCACATGGTTCCTGCAATGGAGAGCCAGGCAAGTATCTGATGGTGAACTGGCTATACGTGGAACATCCACAAGGTTGGTTTCTACATGGCAACCCTCTTCCGTGTTGTGTGTAGCATGCGATTTCTTATTATGACGGAAGTTATATGGTACTTAATATGTGTACTAAGACATAGGAGGTATACTATCTATGAATAGACTCCTAGGGTGGCCATGTGGTATGGAATTGTGTGCTTTCTTGATGAGTGGTGTTTTCTACAATTGAGGTAGTAGAGAATGCACTTTAGTTCCCGAGAGTAGCATAATGGGATGAAATTGCTCTCATGTTGAGGGTTTTGTCTTGCTCCTACTGTGCCTAATAGGATGTACAAATTTGGCTGAGATGGCCAAAGGGATTTGCTTATGTAAAGGAGGAATTAAAACAGTAAAGATGCATGCCTTCTAGCATCTTCCACATTGGCCTCTGATTTATTGGGTCAACTGGGTAAAAAGAAATGATGAGATAGAGGTACTGGCTTGTTGCTTCATGCAGATTAGGGTGGGTTAAAAGGGAAAAAGTATAAATTACATCTATGTTAATTATCTCTTCCAAGAGTTAAAAATATTGGACCCCATGGGAAAAGACAAATAATGAGGAAGAAGAGAGTTAAGTAAACATGATAGAAGATGCCCCTCAGTTCCAAATTTCAATACAGATAAAGGAAAAATCCATGGTTAAGCATGAAGATGAGTGTGACAGCATGTACACATAGCCCTGTGGTGGAGATATGATAGTCAAGGTGCATTCACCTCTGAAGTGCTTGATTTGAGAAACATTTTAAGGAATAAATAAAGTAAAAGAAGTAGTAAAAGAAGTGCTCTGGCCTGGATAGGGTATGAGGGTATGGGGGTAGATAGAATCAGTCTAAACATTATAGAAACATAAATACAAACATAAATAATAAAAAAAACTTAACTACTGTCTCTCCTTGATAGTATCACCCAAGGGTGCATAACTCAAGGCAATGTAAGGTAAATAAATCCCCCCAATGGACTGGCTCATAGGACCCATTAAAGACTCTGGCTGAGATACATATACATATGAGGAACTGGAACACAAACAAAGGACAGTTGTTACTAAGGGAAATGGGCAGAAATCATGAAATTGGTAAGAGGCTTTAGTGTCTTTCTGAGCCCAATGAGGTCTTGATCTTTATGATATAAGAAAGGTTTTGAGATGTCTCAGTGCCTTAGACTGACATGTATGCTAGGTTTATAAAGAGCTAAAATAAAAAGAAGATGTGAAAGCCAAACAAAGAGCATGTCTATGCCACTTGGAAATGTCACAAAATGTATGTCAGGTTTTGCAAAAAATCTAATGAAAACCAAATGCTTTGGGGGGGGGGTTCGAGACAGGGTTTCTCTGTGTAGCTTTGCACTTTTCCTAGATCTCGCTCTGTAGACCAGACTGGCCTCAGGAACTCATAAAGATGCGCCTGCCTCTGCCTCTGAAGTGCCACCACTGCCCAGCACCAAATGCTTTGTTGAAAAGCCCTTGAAAAAGTTCAAGGCCTGATCAACAGTTCACCAAAGAGATAAGAGGCAGAATACAGTAAGATACAGGTGATTCCCACTGAATTCTTTGATGTCCCCAAGAAGATATGGGGTAACCATCCTAGCCACCATCCAATGGAATGGCTGAGATTTCCTAACAATACACGTATGTCAACTGGAGGACCCATATTGAAATATAGATTTATTGGTTCCCCACTAACATGTGAAATACTTGGGCTTTTGTGAATTCTAACCCAAATGAACCTTAATTCATGATAATCTGCAAAAGCATAAGGAGTGATTGAGAGCAACAGATGGATACACAGATCAAATAGGACTAGTGAAGAGGACTAACTTTGTCCTAAGGGTACATAATTATAGCCTCCAGTACTGTACTGGGTTCCTACTTCCATTGTAAGAGAAGATTCTGAGGGTATAAATGATACTGAGGCACACCCTACATGCCACCATCACTGACAGAGTGTTGTCTGAGTATAAATTGTAAAGGCAGCCATATGTGGCTGATTGGGTTGGGACTTTGCAAAGATACATACTATATGTGGGACCATAAATATCAATCATGACAGACTGCCTGATGTCTGCTGAAATAAAAGAAACCATCAAGGAGTGAAAAAGGATAGGCACTATTTACCAAGGCAAAAGATCTTTAACAAGTCCACTATTTTCTGTGAATAAGCTGGATAACTTCTCGAGAATGACAGTATTATAGATAACTAAAGTGGGTAATTCTCAAAGTCCATGGTATTATACCCAACATTGTTCTTTTGTTAGAACAAATAGTATAAGTGATGGGAGTCTTTCCATTGGTCTTTGCTCATGGATTTTATATTCTCCTAGTTACTGAATCTTAGAACATTTTGCATTTGCTTGGAGTAAATAGCAGGGAACTTATTATTATTTAGAATGTATTAACATGAATTATGTTATTTTTATATGTATTTAATTTATCATACTATTTGTCCATATAATACTATAAAACATTGTTATAATTACATATATCTGATTTTAAAAATCATAAAATTTGATTTAATTGTAATCAATTTTATAACTAATATTAGAAAAATGTAATGATTTTTTTTCATTCTAATGATTCAGTTGTCTTCCATATGCTGTGGTATGGCATTTTAATTTATTAAATTCAAAATGTTTTTTGCTTTCTATAACCTATATTTTTCTATAACCTATTTTCAACCTGTTTTTCTATATAACCCAGTTTTAAAAGAAATATGTTGTCCAATTTAAATATTTTAGGGTATTCTCCATATTTTATTTTAACATCTTACAATTTAATTCCACTCTAGTCAGAAAATATTTTGTAATCATAATTTTAGGTTTTACAATTAGAACTTTGAATTCTAATTGAGTTTTGTTTAGATGGAGGCAGAATTTTTGTTTCAGTCTTCTGAATGTGCATATCCAGCTTTCCAGCACCCCATGTCAGAGATCGCTCTATCTCCAGGGCATACTGCTGCTGTCTCCACTGAGCATCACTTAACCATAGCATGCCTCTGTGTCAGAGAACTGTCAAATTTCATGTCTCATTTTCATTAGTGAGGACATCCAATTTTCAGTTTAACACATTGCTATCCAGTTTGAACTCTATGGTACCTAGACTTCAGTATCATTATATGGGTTCATATGAATAG